TAGGCTTTTATTTGAGTTCTTGGGTCCAATTATAATTTTAAAATGTTGATTTGATCAAATCAAAGGATCAATTACATAATTATTGAAGTTTGATGGCCAATTAAGGACTTGATTGAAACAATCCGAAATTAAGGACTAAACCAGAAAAGGCACTAAAATCAAGGGATCAAATTACAATATATCTAAGAACTTGATTATAAAATTTCAAAACTTGAGTGACCAAACTGAAAATGGTCATTCACATCTTAAAACAACCATTTAAAATAGAGTCATTTCATTGACAATTGTTCATTACCTTCTTCCTCATCAACCATTTCAAGCAATATAATTATTGGAGACATTTGATCATTAAAGGCATTGAAATCAAGCTAGTCATTGCCTGCACAAGCTTGTCTCTGGCCTATAAAAGCATAAAAAAGAGACGAAACAAAGGGAGGAAAGGAGAGGCAAAAAGAAAAATAGGGAGGGAAAGATAAAAGAAAGAAAAGGAGAAAGAACAGGGAGAAAAAAAAAAACAAAGGGAGATATTAATAAGAACTAGGCAACAGAAGGGGAGGAAAATGCAGGAGAAAAACACATAAAGAGGAGGAAAAAAGAAAAATAGAAAAAGTGACCATAAGAAAGGAAGAAAACAAGAAAGAAAGTATAGAGCAGTAAAAAAAGAGAAAAATAGAGTAACAGAGGAGATTATAGTGGGGGATAAAGGACAAAGGAGGGAGAAACCAAAGAAAAGGAAAAAAAAAGAAAAGAAGTAAAGGAAAACAAAGGTGAATAGAGAAGAGAGAGAGAGGAGAGAAATCAAAGTAAAACATACAGAAAGAGAGAAGACACAAGGACAAGGGGAACGAAACAAAGACAGTGATAAAGAGTAGAATAGAAGTAGACAGGAAAAAGAGAAAACAAATAGAGGTTGGTGCCTCTACACAGGGAAGAAGAAGAAAAAAAGTAGTACCGCTAGGCTTCTCAACCACCACCATGGCCAGCTGCTGGACCCCAACACTGTCGTGAGCCACCAACATCATAAACGACAGCACCTCCATTCTAGGTAATTCATTTCCCTTTGTCTTAGTTTTCTCATTTAATCTTCTTGCATGTAGAACGTGCACTGTGCACATTTCTGCAAGCAAGAAGAAATAATTACCTTGATACTGTGTGATTAGTACTTAAAAGTACATTTTTATTAAGGTTTTATATCATCATTCTGCATTTAAAGTATCAATAACTCCTTAACTAAATCATGTTTTATAATAACAAGTCTGATAATATAAGATACCTTTAATTTATAGTAAATGTTTAGTTTAAATGAAGTTATTCTTACAATTCAAAGGATTGATTGTTGTAATTAACTATTGGAAGTGAAAGGACAAAGAAAAGGCTAAGTTTAGAAATAAGATGCCGATTTAATTCAAATTCAAACATTGTTTAGTCATTGGGTCATATTTAGAGCTATAGAGCTTGGATTTTAGTTTGATTTATATGGATGAAAAGATAAAAAATAGGCCTACAACTTTCATAAATAGGGAAAGACTAAATCTACCATTTTCAAATTCAAAGTTTGGTCAAAAAAGAGAAATCAGAATCTATCATGCAATTCAGCCCAAACACTACTCATAATTTTACCCATAGCTAGAGTACTCGAAGGCCAAATGATGTGAAATTTGGTGGGTGGAAGGAAAAGACAATTTCAAACAACTTTGATGAGAAGACCTGCTCAAATTCTAATGGTAATAATGACATTTCATCCATACAAGAGTTTGAGTGCTATCCACCATGTCCACCAATAGCACTACTAAGTATTTTAGAAATATCTTGAGCTATAAGGATCTAAATGCTCTGAAAGTTGGTGGGTGAAAGGAAAAGATAATTTCTAACAACTTTCATGAATAACACTTTGCCACATTCTTATTGCATCAATGTCATTTCATCCAGCCAAAATGCTTGAGTGCTGCTGTCCACCAAGTCCATTAAATCAATAGTTAGCCAGATAAAAAATTTCAATAAAAAATGATAAGAAAAAAGCAAATAACAATTATAAAAAAAAGGACCAAAGTTAATATAAAAATTAAATTTTAAGAGATGAAATTAAAAAATAAATATTCAAAACAAAATATATATAGCAATCAAAAGTTTAAGGATCAAATTTGATAAAATCAGTAAATAATGATATTTCTAAATTTTTTACAACTTTCAGAAAGTGTTTTCTACCCAAATTTTCTAGGAAAATACTTTCCTGAAAACCAAGCTAAATTTTCCTTTGACTGAAAAGTGCTTTTTGTTAACCAACTTTCCTAATGGCATCAATTATCAATTACCAAATGAATACACAACCAAAAAGGAAAACACTTTCCTGAAAACCAAGCTAAATTTTTCTTTGACTAAAAAGTATTTTTGTTGACCTGAAAGTGTTTTCCATTGACCTGAAAGTGTTTTCCATTGACAAGAAAGTGTTTTTTGTTGACCAACTTTTCTAGTGGCAAACAAACACGAGAAAGTTTGGAATGTGGTTTCCCAGAAACTATTTTTCGGGAAATAGACATGGCCATATATTTTATTTATGTTCTTATCTTCTTTCATTATATTTAGTTAAGTTTATTATATTAAGGTGAAAATGTTACACTAATGATGGAAGCATGAATATAGTATAAACTCAATATGGACTTTAATATTTGATACTAACATATTTTGTGTTTGTTATTTTGTTCACTTTTAATACTTTACTTGTTAAATGATTAATTTAGATTTATATTGTATAACCTTTGGTACAATAAATACTTTGCACTTACATAACCCAACTGTATGATGTAACTAACACTAGTGCTATGAAAGAAACTTGATTTATTATTAACATAAGTTATAATCATGAATACGTGACAACATTTACAAGTATTAATATTATTCGAATAAAATAACTAATGTAATCATGTTAACAATTTATAATCCTATTGGAACCTCCTTTGTATGTGGTTTCTAGTTGAGTATAAAAAGAGTTTATATTATGCTTGTTTGAAACACCATTAGTGGATCCTCTAACGTTGACATTTTTTTTATTATTGTTTAATCCTTACATTAGTCTTACAATCTTAAAGTCCTTTTTAACTTGTTGTTGTTGTTCTTCTTCTTTTTCTTCTTCTTATTATTATTATAGTATGACTATTACAATTATTGTTATTGTTATTGTTGTTGTTTATAATTTATATAGTTAACCTCCTTGTAGTTCGACACTGGTCTTACCAAATTATTTATTACTTCGACACTCCTACACTTGAAAAAAGACATTAATTTCTTGGTCATGTCACTTAATAAAAAGATATCAAAGTAATAATAACATTTTAAAAGGAGCATGAAAAAATAAGGAATTGGATCATTGTTTCAAATGATTCCAGTAAACCTAGTTAATTTAGTAATATAATTTTTAAAAAAAGCTAATGACAATAATAAAAAACAACAATGATTAATTAAAAATTAATCATTTGTCTATATTATGAAAATATACCTTTTAAATATTCTTTAAAAAAAATTAAGGATGTTATTTGATAATAAAACAAAAATGAAATAAAAACAAGATAATTTTATATATATAAAAAAATCATGCTTATCTACTAGCAAATTAACCATTAAAGAACGAATTGAAAGAAAAAATCAATTTTCAAAGAGGATAAAAAACTTAACTTAAGTCAAGATGCGAAATTCATGGCTTGGTTGTGAAGTTATGATAACTTCGGAAAAAAAAATTAAATAAATGAAAGACAAAACTGAAAATAAAATTAATTTAAAAATAAAAAAATACTAGTCAATCTTGGTTAACACAACTAACCCTTAACTTAGAATAACCTCATGGAAAAGAAAGCAACAAAAATCACAAAGTTGAATGCCCAATAACCTAATTTTAAAGGGTGAAAATTAAAAAAAATCATTTAAAAATAACAACATAAAAAAATTAAAGTCAAATTGAGTTGATTTTTAAAACTTATGACCTAGGTCGTGAGACTAAGTTATCCCATAAAAGAGAAATCCAAAAAAATAACATAGCAAAATTCACGATAGTTCAAATTAAAAATAAAAAACAAATAGTAATAAAAAAAATAAGGAACATATTTGTATAAAAACTAAATGAAATTAAAAAATAAGGGATTAAATTTTTTAAAAAATATCAAGATAAGGTTTAAGTCATTATTTTTAAAGATGCAAAAACACTTGAATATTATTTTTAATAAAAATTTATTTTTAAGAGTAATTAAGTCATTAGAGTTTTACTTTAAAAATAAAAATAAAAATAAAAGCCCTAGGTTTAAGAAAATTTTGTTTTAAAAAGTAATTAAGTTATTTTATTATGCTGATAAAATATAAATAGACTTATCAATCCTATTCAATTTAAAAATGATTTTTACATTGTAAGAAAAAGATTATTATAATCCAATTAAAAGGTTTAATATTTTTTTATAAAAAGTTAAATAATTATTTTATTATTCAACAAAATAATAATTTTAATAACAAAAAAACTAAACACACATAAGTTTTTGTTAATTTCCATCTACATATTAATATTGATTTGGTTTGTGACAGTAAAGAGATTTTTGAATGCTATTGTCATTCAATATCAAATATTATCTTTTGACCCTTTCATCTTTGATGAATATCATCTTATTCAAGTTAATTAATTTTTATGAGATTAGTTTGGACTAAACAATCACTATTAAAAATAGTGATTGTGTAGATATTAAAAATAATGATTTTATACAAATCATGCTATTTTTCAAATATTTTCCCAACCTATATAATTCTCCAAAAACTTTTACCAAAATGAATAATTTCTCAAAACAAATCAAAAACTTGAGGGATAACTTTTAAATAAAAAAGAAAAAGAAAAGATGGCTATGGTGGATGGAATTAGAAGAGAACAAAACTTCAAGGGACCTTTTTGCTTGGATAGAAACATCTATGTATGTTTGTATATCATTGATTTAATTAATTAAATGTACTCTCTAATGAAAGATTTATTAACAAGCAGGCAGTCAATCAATTATCTTCTAGTACTACTGTGTTTTTCTCGACCCGACTCTTTCACTTCTTCTTCTTCTTCCTTTTTTTACAAATAGAAGGGAAAAGCAAAGATCTCTCTTTTCTTTCTTAATTTTCTTCTTGTGGTCTCAAACCAGAAATCCCAACAAAATCAAATCAAGCGTGTTTCCAGAAAATTATTAGGTACCCTTTATTCTCACCTCTTTCTTCTTCATTTATCTCCTCGATCTCTCTTTCTCTCTCTATTCATGTTCTTGTGAAAATAGTACATATATATTATGCGATTTGCTAATCATTTATTAATTTACGGGCTATTAATTTATGGGTTCTTGAAAGATTGACTTGGGTTTATTTAAGTCTTGGTTGTTATTTATAGCAGTTTTAGTGGAAGAATTTGTGGGGTTATGCATGGCCATGAGGGTAAATTACACTTTTATGGGTCAATTTATAGAGTTTTCGCAATATCTGATTTTGGTTTTGTTTGAGTATTAGGGCGTCAAAGGGTCAGTGATTGGAGCTTCGGAGAGCAATTCGATCTATGATGTATTTTTTGAGAAACTGTGTGCTAAGTCTTGATATTGGTTATGACTGTGCGAAAGGGAATAGTGTTATTAGTGACTGGTCGTTCAAGTTAATATTACAGGAAAGGAGTTAAGAGTGTGGAGAAACTAAATTAGTGGTGCAAAGTGTTTTGTTTTTGGATCTGAAATTTTAGTTTGAGATCATTTTTTTTAAGTATTGTTGTGCTGCATTTTTGGTGTTCTGTGACATGCGCAGCAATGTGATTGTTCTAGTTGACATGAACCATTCAAAATTAGTCCGATGCATTTAATTGACCTAATTAGATTACTTGGTAAGAGGAAAGAAAGAAAGTGGCTCTGCTGTTCAGGAGGGCCTTTTGGATCACCAATGTTAATATAAAGTGATAAATAGAGGAGGTTGAAGTACCCTTTTGGATATACCTTGTTTATGACCGTTGTTTGTAGCTTCTGTATATTGTGTAGATTATCGAAATTTGTTCTCTGGCAACTTCTTGTTGGCATTTTCAAGCACATTGGTTTTAAGCTCGAATACTGTTTGTTACATAGGATGCTTTTGAATCTAAATTCTGTGTAACTTCTTCTCAGGGAAATCTTCTAGGCGCTGAAATGCTTTAAGTGATTGCTGAGGCATATCTTCTTTTAATTGTTCCTTCCTGGCTGAAAATGTCATATGAAGAAATTCTGAAGGTTGTTTTCCCTTTATTGGAGGGTGCAGACCTTGCTTCTTGCATGGCAGTGTGCAAACAGTGGAGAGATATGGCCCAAGATGATTACTTTTGGAAATGTGTCTGTGCCAAGAAATGGCCTTCCATTTGCAAGAGGCCAGATCCTCCAACTGTCACGTACTACAAACTATACCAGACCTTTTACAAGCGACAGCATCAACAAATCCTGCTTCCCCCAAGACTTTCCTTTGACAATTTGGAATTCTTCATCGACATTTGGACTGATGATAAATTGATATTTTCTGAAGTGGTCCCAGGCCCTGTTCTGCACACTGGAATCAAAAGCCCACCTCCTGGAATTTGTGATAGGCTTAGATTTCAGCTTGAAGGCCCTGATTGTAAGATGACTCTACCTGTTGAGCCGAGATTCAAAGTCCCTTTAGGCGAGACTGTAAGTGTTTCAGTGCTTGTGGGGCGGAAGGATTCCAATAGGGTTGCTTGCATAATCAGTAAATCTGTCTTTGATTATATAGATCGGACATCCTATAGGGCCATGGCATTTGACTATCTTGGCCTCTCACCAGCCCACCCTTTTGTTCCAGGAATCCGGGCTTGGATTTCTTTGCTATTCATGGATGATAGAAATGACAGTGTCATTGATGTCTTTGGGATTGAAATGGATTTTTGTGATGCTGCAAAATCCAGGGACGAGGTTTTGTGGCTGCTTGACATACTTGATTGGAAGTGAAGGGTTCATAAGCCGAGCGATGAGAAGAACTGAGCTCATTGAGAACGTTTCAAACAGAGTTCCTAGCCTTCAGTACCAGTATGGCTCGTTTTATATCATTTTATTTAATGTTTAAATTCGTAAACACTGTTCATTGGTTGTCGACTTGTGTCAATTAATATGAAAATCTTTGTGATGAATTCCTAAATTTTCTGTGGCAATCTATTCACTCATTTGGAATGGGAGCGTCTGTACAGAGTCCTCTACGTATCTCAATCCAATCTAAGCATTAAGTAATTCATGAATAACATGGTGTTTTTATCCTTGATGTATTTGTTTGTGGCTTTTGGTTGAGGTGCGTCATTAAAGCTTTTGCTCGGTGTTGTTATATGTGATTTAGCTATTCCTCTTGTTTAACCTATTTTTTTAAGGCATATGTGGGAGAAGCCCTTGACTATGGGGATTATGCTTTGTTTTTGTATATCCAATTCAGCCAGCTGTGTTCCTTTCCAATTGATCACCATGAATGTGGTAAAAGGATGACTCGAGAAAATGATATTATATAACCAAGGATTCATGTCTTGCTCAAGCATTACTAGGAATGTGATGCTGTTTTTTGCTGCCGCCAAGGCAATTGACCTTGCACATTGTCATCTGTAGCTCTTCTTTCACCAAATGTCGAAAGGGAAAGGCATAGCAGCTTTTGCATTTTCATTTGTCAAGTTCTGCACTCCTTTTGTCCCATTGGCGCATCCATCTTGTTTGTGATAAAAAAAGAAAGAAGGAAGGAAAGTTGGCTGGTGAGCACTCAGGAACACTCCCCCCCTGATGGTGCTCTTCGTCAACCCCCAACCTGTTCAGAAAACCACCATAGCAACCTGCTGGTAAAGCTGCAGAAAACTTGTTTGCAGAACCTCGAATCTGGTACCATCAGATTACCGGCTTTTAGCTTGAGGTAATTCAAACAATTAAAGGAGCTAATTATTTTGTCTAAGTATGGATTTTGTTTAAAACATAATATTTTCCAATAAATTATTTAGATAATTACAAATTTCTTTATTCACTTGTGGAATTTTCATGAAGTCACCGAAAAGAATGGTGAACGAAACATTTCACTTACATTTGTTAGTTTAATACATGCAGCCAACATTTGATATTATTATATTCATATAAATATATTTTTAAATAAAAGTTGAATTTATCTTTAATATTTATATAATATTAGATTAATGAATCTAAAATTTGATTTATAAATTTAGAGTAAAAATAAAGTTCATGGGATAAAAATATTTTGTAGAGAAAGTTATAAAAGTCATGATTATGAGATTCATAATATATCAAATCATTGTTTATAAAATATTTTTGGTCGACGCTATCATAAATATTTATTTTTTAGAGTTATAGAGATTGATGTATATTATGTTCTTTTTTTTTTTATGAAAGTAAGTAGATGTTCACATAAGCTGAGGTATGAGGAATACTTAGAACTAATATGTAAGTCTTTGTCATAAAATATGTAGATTGAAATGACCCGTATGAGAATTTCGAGTGGAGATTAACTATATTTATGGAAAGGTTCACGTAATAGTTGTGTAAGTGATCTTTAGACTTGTGATCACTAAATTATCTTATATAAAGAATATTATGTTTTAATCTTGTTACATGTTATCTTAGTTAAGGTAAAAAAAGGGCAAACATTGGGTATAACATGAACTTTATAAAGGTATTTGAGTGATTAAGAGATGATTCATTACTCTAGGTAAATTAAGAAAAATATTTCATCTATTCTCAAATTGTATTAATCAGGAAATCCATGGCCAAAGTTGAATTAGATTTTAAAAAAAGTTTTAAATCTTATTTAAACAATCAATAACTATTCTACATAGAACAAATATGATTTAACATAAGAGACATATTTTATATTTTAATATTAAATTGAAACATTGTTAATGAAAGAATATTAATTATACTAAGAAACTAGTCACTAAAAGATTAAGTTAAATTAACTTTTCTAAAATTTGTAGGATCATGATATGTTGTTAGACAATGCACTTGATCTTCAAATATACATTAATCAATTATTGAATTGATAATAAATTAAATTATTTAATTCTATTTAATTAGAATTATAATGTATATTTGGGCTAATATATTAGAAACCTAATGAGTCACAAACATTAAGAATCATTAGTTAGAAATTCAACTGAGATGATTTAATTAAGTATAACTTGATTAAAATACATTTTAAAAATTAAGAACTAAAATATAATTAATATAGGGACTATATTTCTAGACCTAGAAAAATCTAGTAAGGAATTGATTGAGTTAATTTCTAAAATTATCTTGAATTAACATATGAATATTATGCAAGCGGTGAATTAATATTTTATCAATTATAGAGTTTTTTAGATTTTTCTATAAATAGCAAGCTATATTTTTTTTTTCTTGTGATTGTCTGTTAGTAAAAAAACTATGTAAGTCATAGAATAGAGAATTAGCACTCTAAGCATAACAATCCCTCTTTTCTAAATAGGAATTTAAGAGATTTTTTAATGATAGTTTGTGTGGATTATAGTTAGAGGTCAAATAACTAGATGTCTTCTAATTTACGACAATTCAATTTTTAAAGAATTATTCAAAGCTAAAAAAATCAAATCTTCAAGTAATAAATCTTTAAAATCCTCTGGATGTATAAAACAAGATCATTAAAAGTTTTAAAAAATTTTATTTATAGTTTTTACTACGTGTGTAATATCTGATAACCTAATAGTTGTAGCAAAATCTTTCCTAAACCATTAGTGTTGTTGATTGGAAATAACTATGAATTTATGTGTAAATTTATTTTTCCTAGAAGTATTGTTTTCTCTTGTTATTCTTTTTGATTACTGTTCTGACCAAATCTCACTAGAATTCACCATTGATTTTTTTTTAAATGGTTTTAGGTCGTTACAACAACTACAATTGGCAGCACCAATGTTGTTGGCACGCCTGGTTATGCAACGCGCACAGCCAATCACCGTTGGTAGAAGGCCACAACAGCGCCAAACGTTCTTGGTGCTGCCATGGGCGCTGCGCAGGTAGTGCGAGGGCTTTTGCTCGGCATAGCCACCAGGTGCAGCGGCAATATCGCTACCACCGATTATTGTTACCACCAGCATGAGCAGACCATGCCAACAACAGCAACAACGGCAAAAAGAAGAAAATGACATGGGAAAAATTACAATTCTACCCCTACTACTTAGATTAAGGTTTTTGAGGGGTAGAATTACACATCTACCCATGCAATTTATATATAATTATTTTTAGGTATTGGGGCTGAAATTATGATTTTGAGCCTTTCATATATAAAATAATGATTTTATATTAAAATTGAAATACTAAATTAAATTAATTTTTACAATTAGATTAGGATTGAATTAAAATGTTTATAACCTATATTTTTTAGTTTTGTCATATCCTAATAGGTTTAGGATTTAATTAAAATATTTAATTAAATAATGTTTAGAAAAATAGTTTTTGTAAAGTAAAAAGAGTATTTAAACTAAAATATTTTTATTTAATTGATGCTAAAATAGTTTAGGATATTAATATGAATTTTAATATAATTAATTTCATTATTAAATTTTGAAACTTATTTTTTTCAATAAAAGAATCTATATTTAAAAAAATTTATTATATTTAAAAAATTATCAAATTGGATTTGAATTTAATATTTGTAACTGTTAAAAATATTATTTTAAATTGTGTATAAAATCAATAATTAGAATTAAAGCGTGCAATAATTTTATTAGATATATTAATATGTTATGTATGATGGATGATGATGAACATTAAAAACCAATGTGATTGTGTTTTTATGGTTGAATAGTTGTAATACTAAATAGGTCCATGTGTTTTGTCTTTTCTCTAATTTTTTATCTAGGTTGTAAAATTAATTTCTCATTTAACTCTCCTCTAATTAAACTCTAGGTTTTTTATTTAATTATATAAATTTAATGTAATTTAGAAATATCAGGATTTAGATAAGAAAAATATTTTATCATTCAAGATGACTAAATAATAGCAATAAAAAGATACAACTATAGTCCTCGCAAATAATACACACACCATCCTTTTAGGCATAATCTCAATTCAAGGTTAGTGAAAGACCATAAATGTTTTTTCATCTAATTTGATATGCTAAATTTTTATCAAAATAGTTTTCTTTGTATTTTTAACATCTTGAATGTTGATATTAAGTTAATCACACATCAATTATCATCATTATATACTTACACTTCATCCCAAGCCTTTCCATCATCCATAATAATCCAAACATCTAGTATAAAAATATTAAACTAAGTTAATTACATAATTCTTCTCATTATATCATTACTAAACAAAACTATTTACAACAAAATACATATAAAAGAGATTTATAAAAGAGATTTAATTGCAATGGAGTATTAATCCTGACGAGTATGAAATGAACCTGAAATTTAAGAATTATATTATTATCAATATATTAATCAAATTATCATTATTATTACTACCACCATCACCATCACCACCATTAATAATAATAATAATAATATTTTTTTAGAAGGAATAATCAATCCAATTACTCTAACAAAAAATTTTGATTATCCATTCGATAAATAATTTAAATCTAGCAATTATATTTCATTGCTAAAATTGTTGGTAATTCTCTCCAATTACTCTATTTCTTTGTCTAATGATCCTAACCATGTATTTATTTACCAAAATTTTCTAACAAAAATCCGACAAGTCCTATATTTTCTTTAATACCAATAAATTTTAGTATACTCACATAGATACTCGTTAATTTATCATTTTTTTTAAGCGAATCAATTCGATATTCTCATTTGAATACTACTTAGATTCTAGAATCCTCAAACGATTACTCATAAATCCAACATTTTCTTTTTTTAAGTCAAATCAACTCGATATTTTCTTTTGAATACTACATGAACTCTAGTATTCACATATAGAAACTTATTAAATCTAGTATTTTTATTTTGAAAGCCAAATCAATCCATCATTAAATCTAGCAACTCATTAGATCTAGCATTTTTATTTTGAAAGCCAAATCAATCCAGTATTCTTTTTTGAATACCACATGAACTCTAGTATCCCCGTGTAGATGCTCATTGAATTCAACATTTCCATTTTTAGAGGCCAAATCATACCATTATTCTCTTTTGAATACTAATTCTCTATATATTAAGTCATTTATGTTTGTCGAATGATAATTTCAACCAAATAATAAAAGTAAGCATTATATTAACTACAAATGCTAACATCCTAAAATACTATTTACATATTA